GAAATTCGCCACAAAGCGAGTTCTTGTCACCAAGGGAAATATAAATCGCTAATTAATCGGCACTGATAACACGAAGCGGGTTTTAAGGAGGATACAGTACATGAAGACCTTTCGCTCTGACGAATTTCTCGCGAGGTCGCAGTCAATTTTCAGAGCAGCACCTTCTTCAAAATTCAAACTTCAAAGCAACAGCATGAAAGAATTATGCCTGAAAGACATAAACCGCACATGAACTCGCATACTAAACAGCCCGCAGAGTGAACTGTAGGAATCATGGAAGGATGACTTCAAACTCTGCCTCCCCAATGACATCACGAAAGAAAGAAAGTTCCGCCAATTCAAGAATTAGGATCAACGTGAGCGGAACAATGTTTGAAACTTTAGAAGAAACCTTGTCGAGATACCCAGACACTCTTCTTGGATGTCCAAAAAAGCGTGTTCAATATTTTGATAAGAGACATGACGAATACTTTTTCAACCGAAACAGGCTGGCTTTCGATGCGATCCTGTTTTATTATCAGTCATATGGGAGACTAGTTAGACCAGACATGGTGCCTGAGAATGTTTTCATCGATGAGGTACGTTTCTTTCAAATACAAAGCGATTACACTTCAACTCGTGATAACATCGAGTGTGCTCTTTTGGGAAAAGACGAGGATCTACCACAGAATTTTATACAACGTAAGATATGGCTGTTGTTTTCACATCCCGAATCATCATACGCAGCCAGAGTTCTGGCAGTTTTATCTGTTGTTATCATTCTTCTGTCAGTCGTTATACCATGTTTTGAGTCATCATCTAGGGACATTGACACTACAGACAACGATGAGAGCACGTTTTTTTCGTCCTTGGAGATGGCGTGTTACGTTTGGTTCACCTTTGAGTTAGCGGTTCGTTTTTGCAGTGCACCTCATAAACTGCGGTTTTTTCGCTCAATGCTTAACTTTATAGACATCATCAGCGTCTTTCCGTATTATGTTCTGCTAACGATGCTAAACACTCGCGCACCATTATCAGTTCTGCGCGCGGCGAGAATGCTGCGTGTTTTACGAATATTCAAACTGTCTCGCTACTCTAGTGGTATGCGAATATTGCTATTTACGTTCTATACGAGTATGAAAGAGTTGGGAATGTTTTTGATATTCATCTTCATCAGTATCGTGGTATCGTCGAGCGCAGCATTTTACGCCGAGATTGGCTGTGATAGCGGCGCATTCTCCAGCATCCCAGATGCGTTTTGGTGGGCGGTAAACACAATTACAACTGTGGGATACGGCGATCAATACCCACTAAATGCCTCTGGTAAAATGGTGGGTTGTCTGTTGACCATTTTTGGCGTTTTAATCATTGCTCTTCCAGTTTTCCTCTTTGTCGCTAACTTCAACAAAGTTATGAACGCCAACATGGCGGCTATTGACCGGGCGGGGGAAAAAGAAAGCGCTGAAGTGAACTGAAGCCGCGGAAATTCTACTAAATATTCACTGAAGTGACTTTCTCCGATCGTTTGCCAAATTTCAGATCACGCGAAGTACTTTTGAGAAAGCAAAACAAATTCTCCTACATTGTGCACATGAATTTTACAAATATTTTTACTTTGCATTCAACTGCTTTCATCGATGATCATTTATTACTTGAATGTTCTGTAAGTGCCTTCAATTATAGAAACTATAATTGCTGTCAGAACCACCTGCTAAAAAGGTTTTTATTAATTTTTCTTAATTAAAATGATGTAAATGTTTGTACTACCAATGCAAAGCAATGACTAATCTTGTCTTTTTTTGGGCAGATTATTGAAGGTTGTTTGCAAAGAAGGCGTATTGATTGATTACTTGAAAAGGGTTTTAGCTAAAGGGGCAATTCATTCTGTCTAGTGAAAGAAAATGTTTTTATTTAAACCTGTATTTAAGTAACCAATCAATCTGTCCTATATGCAAACAGATTTAAAGAGTCTGCCTGAAAAAAGGAGACATTAGTCATTGCTTAAAATCCTTGATAAGTAAACGAATTGACACACATTTTAATATTTTTCAAATAACGCAAACTATTTTACTTCGCAAATATTGACCGTGACAGTAAACTACTTTATTTCTTCCAGAAGCAAGCTATATACACGATTAAAAACTAAAAGAAAGATGCATATGCTTCTAGACAAGGAAGTTAAGAGGCTACCCCTATGCGAAAACTCCCTTTAAAAAAATGAAAAAAGTACAATAAATCAAGATCTTAATAAAATATTTAAGTACGATTTAAGTTTAGATTTAAAATGCTGAAAGCTATCAGCTTCCACTATGTCCCCTGGTTCGCAAATGAAAGATAACAATTCTTTATTTTCTCTCGTTACAACAGCAAAGTTGTGGGTCAGCTTACCGATTTTTCAATGCTAGAACCCAGTCCATTGCGAAACTTAACCTCACCCTAAAACGGACCGAAAAAAAAAATCATTACTTTTTTCAGCTACCCCATTTCATTTTTCGTTTTTTACATTATCCTTTCATGTTGGTTTTTTTCTTTGTTTTTTTTTTTTTAATTTGTGCGTTTTTGTTTGGATTTTTCATTTGTTTTTCGTCGACAAGTCCTCACCCGAACAACTTACTTTAATTTTACCATTGTGAATTTTAGTTTCTCTTGCATTTGCTCTGTTATTTATTTCAATGAATGAACTCTCTCTCTTCGCCAAAATAATATGCCCTCTGGCGCCAGTGTTTAGAAACAATTTTTTATTGAATAGCCTTCAATCAAGGAACAGTAATTTCAATATTTTTAATTTCAATAGGAAAGAAGACCGACACTCAGAGAAACGACTATTTGAACGAACGTTTGCAAAAAAACAAGTTTTGACTGACTAAAAACTCTGATCAAGTGGTCGTTAGGAGAGAAATTTCAATTTTAAAGACGGAGATAAATGTCCCTTATTTCACCATTAGATCATCAGACCTTGGGTGTTCGCTACCGTGGAGCGAGAACTTCCCTTCTACATCATATCAGGATAAATGGTGAGCACAGTTGCGAAGACCCAAAAATTGAAAGACTAGCCTGATGGATTATACGAAATGAAGGCTGAGTAATTGTACCATTAGCTGCGAAGTTGAGGTTTTTTTTTCGGCTGATTTATCACCATGAACAAATGCATTGTCAAACGAATATAAATCGTAAGCGCCCAGCAGTCGAATCTCCACTGACTGACGGATCTATTCAATATAAGAGAGCATTCGGGCTCTTAAGATTGCAGTGCAACCCTTCAAAAACAGAAATCATTCATTTCCTCTCACGCTTCTCAAAAAATCCTCCTTTCTGTAATATCAATATTGGAGATGATATCATTAATTTATCTAATACTGTCCGAGACCAAGGCGTCATCCTTGATTCTGTGATGAACTTACGCTCGCATATAAATTCCATCTGTAAATCGTCGTCTCTAGCAATCAGAAATATTGGTCGCGTTCGTAAATACCTCTCGACGCAGCAAAATGAAAGATTGATACACGCCTTCATCTCATCGAGACTTGATCACTGTAATAGCCTATTGTACGGTCTACCGATTTGTGACATCGAAAAATTCCAACGGATCCAAAACACAGCTGCCCGCTTGTTAGTCGGTGCTAAATCAAGAGACAGTATAACACCTATACCTATGAAACTTCATTGGCTCCCGGTCACAAAACGAATTCAATTCAAGATACTGTTGATAACATACAAAGCACTAAATGACATGGCTCCAACCTATCTTGTTGAACTTCTTAGTCGATATATTCCAGCACGAAAACTCCGTTCATCAAACATGAATCTACTTGAGGTCCCAACAATTCGAACTAAAACGTATGGACAAAGAGCATTCTCCTACGCTGCACCGTATTTGTGGAATCAACTACCTGAATGCATAAAAAACGCCGAATCTGTTGACTCCGTTATACGCTTATTGAAAACTTATCTTTTCAAAAATTAAGCCACCAGATTTTTTTTGATATCGTACGTTGTCAAATATATGTATAACACGTAATAATTCATTAGTTTAGATAGAGTAGCGCAAAATTACATGTATAGGATTTTTAGTGAAATTTTGTTAATTGTAATTGTAAAGCGCATAGAGTTCAATTTTAATGCGCTATATAAGAACTTATTATTAAATTAAATTAAGTTAATTACATTGCAGTGTAGTTAGCCTTTTTCCAGCTTCTGGACAGTAGATTGGATCCCGGTATCACGGTAAGACTATTTGGAGCTCATAGAGCACAGTAAAAGTTGAAAAGGTGCTAGCTCAGTCAGGCCCTTATCGATTTTGCAAGTAAAAGTAGCATATTATGCTACCAGCAGTGGCCGATTTTTTTCCAAATTATGCTCAAAATTATGCTCGATTTTCATAATTATACTACGTTTTCCTGATGTCTGCTTAAAAATAAAAAACACAAAACTAGTCCAAAAACCAAAATTATATACTTATTGTTAATAAAGCATCATATTTTCTTTACCTTGAGTTACACACTTGTTCTAATAAAACACTACTAACTACTGCACTTCAGACTAGAAGCGATGACTTAATGTGTCCAAATGCACAATGTACGAGAATGGGTAGCGTGCTGCCTTGATGACTCTTCTCTCGACTAAGTTCTTCGGTAATGGTTTTTTCTCTTAACTTAGACTTCTTGATCTTTTCTTTCTCAATGTCGTGTTTTTTGGAAGTACAATGGAATGACAAAATGCTTTTCTTTGATGGAACAACTTCTCTGCAAGCACTGAAATATATCGTGTTGCCTCTAACACTCAGATGCTGACCTGGAAACTGATTGATGCGATCATGTAATGGGACTTTTTTTCCCGTCAGATGGCCCTGATCTTGTATTTGCTGTTGGTTTTCTTCAGACTCCGATCTCTAGCAATTTGAGCGTTTTCTGGCCTATCAGGAAGCTGTTCTCCATCTCAGTTGCTCGACTCCATTTTGTTGCATGCGAAAGCGGGAACTAGGACGACGGAAATCTTTACTTCCGGTGTGCCAGTCCTCAAGACGACTAACGACGCAGTATCGCGGTAACCTTCTTCCCCTCCCCCCCAGACGAATGAAAATAAACTGAACCATGGACAGAAGTTGAAAATAATTAATCTTAGAGACCAAGCAAGTCATGAATCTAGTAAAGTTCTCTTTAAAAAAAACTATAAATATGCCGATTATGCTAAAAGTGCTACTTTTGGAAAAGTGCAAAAATTATGCCCGTTTTTCCAGTTATGCCAAAACTTATACTAGCACAATCGATAAGGGCCTAGGCTTAGTGGAAGATTTTCTATGATTATGTCTAGCCATAATGATATCTGGTTCTGAATCGAAGCTTTGATAATTTAGTAATAGAACGCTTTATGATCGACAACAACGACTGTTCATTGAGTACATCCATTAAGTCAGGGTTCTCTAGGGTTTATTTTGGCTCCTTTGTTCACTTTATTATTGGTCTATCACACTACATTTACCTGGGTCACGTTTAAGAAAAAAGCATTTTTTGAGAAAAGCTGCTAAATTCTAAACATCAGCCTCTGATTTCGGACACTAGCGTCCGATTTTAACTGATACTGACGGTTAATTTTGGACAGTTGTGTATCGTATGATTTCTAACAACGGTCGATGTTTGATTTCGTTTTTTAACCGAATTCCGATCATTAACGCTGCTAAAGGATGTTCAAGAGGACCGGGTGACAGTCTCCAAAGCTGATTGTTTTGCGTGCACTTTGAAATGATGAGAAGCGAAGTCGGGCAGCGACTAAAAAAGCCATTTTCCACCATTTCCTGCTTCAAGCTTCTCACAGCTCAGCCGTTCGTCTAGCTGCACACCCTATACGTTAGGATTGCGCAACGGGAGGGAGTGCGTTTTTTTTTTCTTTTTTTTTTCTTTTCTCTTTCTTTCTGAGTTTCCCATTCCTTTTTTTTAATCCTGTCTTTGCTCCTCTTTTCTATCATGCCCCGCGGGTTAGAAAAGACGGTGAAGAACTGGTGACTGGAAATCCCCCACCCCCACCACTTCTTAAAAGGCTTGGCTACTAAGCTGAAATTCGTGTTTGAAGTACAGTGTGGAATTATGATCGAGTGAAGGCAGAAAGGTTTGTATTTCTTTCATTTCCCAAGAAAGCTTGGTACTTGGAATAGAATACCCCGTTCCTTACAAGAATGGGTGATCACGTCAGAGATCCCTTTGACGACATCGATTCTGGAGATGATGAGATAGAAAAGCCACCAACACCTAAAATCCATCATGGCGGCGAGTCGCCAGAAGCGCCTGGTTTCAGCGATGTTTCAGACAGTGAAGAAGAAGAGAACACCGGAAAAGAAGCCACTAAACAACAACCTGAAGATAGCAACAATAGCTCTAGTGTTGGTTCTCCAGTCGAAGGAGAAGGCAACGCAAAAGAGGATATCATTATTGAGGCGAAACCCGACGCTAGTCCCCTCTACGATCAGGAAATTTCGCCAATTTCATCAACTTCAGCAACAGCTGACGACCAAGAGAACACAGTTGCTAAGGTAGATCACAAGGAGGAGGAAGCTTCCTCAGAAGCTGAGAAATTACTATCGAAAACAATTCAAGAATCTGAAACAAAACGAGATCATTTAGAACGAACGGGAGTTGAAGGTGATGTCGAAGTTTCTAGTCAGTTGTCTGCATCAAGAGTAGAGGTGGGCGAAGGAGAGCACGATGGCGATTTAAGTGTTACAGAGAATACAACTGATAGACGGCGAACTATTTCTTCAGGGGCTGCAACGGACGATGATTTAGAAATGCCAATTTCACCATTGGGTCTTGGACTCTCAGGACCCGAATCAGAAATAGTTGATGACATTTTGAAAAGTGATGTCTCCAAGCTTCTTCCTGGCAGTGAAGATGAGTCTAAGGAAGGGCCAATAGGTATAATTGATATTGAAATGATAGGACACACTTTCCATCCATTAACCAGTAGAATAACCTTTGCAGGCTGTGTGTAAAATAAGTAACATTTGGAAATCTCAAGCCAAAGATTGAGCGATTTACAGACTTTGGAGTGTTCTCTCATTGTCCTGCTTCAGTTGTTTAGCTGGCAAGCTGATACAAAGTGCAGCCTCGTACTTTTATAAAATTACTATTGGTTTATTTGTATAATAAACCATAGTTTTTACCAATCACCATGCACCTAGTATCTTTTATATGATTAAATCTCATTGGATGACTTAAATTAAAAATGAACCTAACACTTTACAAACTAATAGTATTAACTCAGGTGATAACACCAAATTATCTTGAAATTTGTTTGAGTTGCCTAATATTTCCTGAAACGCTGAAAGATTCAAGGAAAAATACAGGCAGTGAATTAACTGTGGGCAAGGTTTCACCTTATGGCATAGCTGCATACTACATCAGTGCAAGCTGCATGTGGAAAAAGTTTTTTAAATCCCCACCTTTGGTTTATTTTGTATTTTACTGGTTAAGTGGGTGGTTTTGGTTTCTGAGACCAGTTATAGAGAAAAGTGAAAATGAAAATGTTAAA